AGGGTTTTCCGGTACAAACCTTGCCAAGGCCTGGAACTGGCTCACCGTCGGGGCTGGGACGCGGAATCACCACATTGGTCAACGCACCTGCATTTAAAGAGTTAAAGAACAAACATTTCGAATACTACAAGAGAATAAAACAGAGACAACAAAAAAACGTTAGTTTTTTTAATTTTGCTTCTAAGAAAGAGTGGCCTTTGGTGAAAAATAGATAAGAAGGGTTTATGCAGTCTCCAGTCTGATTCTTTATAGCAAAAGGCTGTAAAACAGACATATACAACCAAGAAAACAGAGACCAAATCAATATGCTTTTTAATCTTATATCTCCAAATAGACCATAAAAAATCGCAATAAAGAGATCTCTTACCAAACTTTCCGCCTTCCTGTTTCATGTCTTCCATTATATCTTCATACTCGTCGTCGTCTCTAAGCTCATTCTCAGCAACAACCTGGGTCAGACATACGACTGTTGTCGCTGGTGCAGCCGGCGCTGCTGCAACCGGCTGTAACATAATCCTCTGCAAAAGAGAAAAAAACATTAGTCTTATAAATTGAATATTCATGTTGCTGCTTTCAAATCTTTTTCCTTTTCTATCATTTATTTACACACAACAGTCTACGAAAAAAAAAATTTACCTGAAAAGCAATCTGCTGTTGTGCATGCAACAATACACTCTCTTGTTCAGGTTTCGGCTGCATTGTTCCCTGGTTAGCACGTCTCACAGTAAGAGTCTTATCTCCCATTTTGATACCGTTTAGAGCAGCGCACGCAATATCTGTAACAGAGAGGTCTTGATACACACAAAAGGCGTATCCTTTAGAGTTCCCAGTTTCTCGATCTTTTACAAGATCAAAGCCCTTAAGGGCTCCAAAGGTCTCCAACAACTCCCTGACTTGTGCCTCGGTGAAGTAGTACGGAAGTCCACCAACAAAAATACGGTCTGGACCCTCAAGCCCACCAGAAGCACCTGGAGTCAGACCAACAGCAGCTAAGTTTAGATTGGAACTGGGCTGGCTTGGACCAAGAGTGGCAGCTAGAGATGGGTTATAGTCACTAGGTCTCCTCACCTTCACAGGAGCTCCCTGGGTAAGAGATAACAATATTATTATTCGTTTTTTGGAGGAAAAGAAGGAAAGCATTCAGTTGTTAACCTATATACGGAAGAAATCCCGACACTAAAAACTCAACCAAATATTTGGTAGTGCGGTAAACATTAAAACATACCTCAAATATAATCCCATCCAAAGACATCGCGTTACTTGCCTCTTCAACAGATCGCATCTCCACAAAAGCAAACTTCTTCTCATGGTTTATGTAAACATTAACAACAGCATCACCTGGACCAGCAGTGTTTCCACCAACAGCAGCCATAACTTGACTAAAAAACGTAGCTACAGACTGCAATACAGGAAAGTAATTCAATCATCAATGTGTTAGTATCAAATGATGGAACATATTAAATGAAAAAAAAAACTAAGGAAAGTGGATACTAACCTGTTCATTTGCCGTAGGGGAAAGCCCACCGACATAGACTCTGCGAGCATGCCTAGTCGCCTGAAGACACATAAAGTAATCAAGGAGACATAGTTAGAAACAGAGAAACCCAAAGTATCTTGCATATATGATATATCTATGAAAATGAACTAACCTGCTGTGTCATAGCCTGAATTGGCATCATAGAGATCCCCCCAAATGGCTGCAGGACATAGAAGAATTAGTTCAAGAAAGAAATCGATTTCAAAATTTTAAAAGGGTAAAGAGCACAGACCTGTCCAGTCGGTAAGGGATACATGTTGGGAAACATTCCAGCCCCAACAGGAAGAGCTGGTGGTGCAGGAAGAACTTGGCCTACAAAAGGAAAACAGGTTAATATATGAGAATAGTACATATGAGAAGACCTAGTTAGATAGTTTAACCTCCCTGGTAAACATAGGAGGTATCAAGAGGTTTTATTCGGTTATGGGGATATAACTGACATCCAGCGTGAGAAAATATTAACAAAACTAACAAAACCAGTTATAGGTACTGAGGATGAGCAATACCCATAAAACCATTGCAGCAATTCCTCCTTGTATATAAGAGTTAACCAGCCCACACCAAATGTTGCCTTAC